TTATGTTTGGGTCGATGTGGGCTCCATGAAAGTTATATCGGTATGAAACTAAAAGAGTGTAAGACTACTGAAATATTGATTAGGGTGTCGATTAAAGATGCATCTTGTTCCCGGGTTTCAATTTGGGATTGAAAACTGCGTGCACACGTCCTTCCCGGAACACTTGTCTATTTTTCGCGCCACATGTGCCGCTACAAGCACCACCTTCACAGTGATGTCACTTCCGTATCAGCAAGCAGACCAATAAAGTCAGGTAGAATTTCTTGTCAGCCAATGGGAGGCAAGAAAGACCGCTTCCTGTGCGACAGACTCGCGGGAAAACAGACAGGAAGAAGTTGAGTTTTGCCGCGAAAAGAGTGACCGGAACCATTGTTTGTAGAACTTTGACGGTCGTGGGATTTTTGTCCTAATTAGCAACCCTTGCTGCTTGAATCATGTCTGGCTTTGACGACCCTGGAATCTACTACAGCGACAGCTTCGGAGCGGGAGAGCAAGGCCCAGATGAAGGTGGACAGAAGCGGATTCAGATCAAGAAGCGATTCCGTGAATTTCTCCGACAGTTTCGAGTGGGAACCGACCGAACTGGCTTTACATATAAATACAGGTAGGGGGTCCTCCCTACCAAGGAAAAACAATCGTAGAAGATCAATTCCACGTTTAAAGAGTGCATTGCAAAAAGTTCCGATGCTAGTTCCACTTGAGGAGTACTTTTCAAAGGAAACGGTTATGTATGTTGAGCAGATGTGCCGAAAGTTCAGCTACTTACATTAAAAATAACATCAAACTGAAATGAAAAAACTCACAGTAGATTACATTAATAATACAAACTACGAAATGTATTTAAGTACAAAATTAAACGTATTTTTATTGTTAGTCGCATGCAATGCCTGTTTTGATAACTGCACAAAAGGGGGAAAATATCTTAAATAAAGCCAAAGATGGGGAATATCTTCGAGTTGAAGTGCCTGAAAAATATTTACATCGTGTGCTAATCCCAGAGATTGAATCAGGTAAGGAACCATTCATTGCAATTCCCTACTGAATTATCTCCACTTGTATGAAAGTTTACTGTCGCTTACTTTGTTACGGCTTTGTTGGTCTTTTTTTTTTTTTTTTGAGCTCTTATTGTTTCTCTGCATTTTAGAGATGAGTTGAAAAGGCACTACACCCTTGGAGAGTACTGCGTTGAGGTGGAGATGGAGGACCTTGCCAGTTTTGACGAGGATCTGTCTGATTGTCTGTACAAGCTTCCTTCAGACAATCTGCCTCTGGTAAAATGCCGTATTCAAACCTCGGCTTTGTGACTATAATGGGATGTGTGTATATATATATTAATTTCTTAACGCGACTTTGTTTATTTCAACTCGTCAATTCTTTCCTCTGCAGTCTGAGCAGGTGTCTCATCTGGTGAAAGTACATGGCATCATCATCTCCGCGACACCCGTGAAGGCCAAGGCCACCAAGGTGTGTCTGCAGTGTCGAAGCTGTCGTCATGTCATCAACAACATCTCTGTGCCTCCGGGCCTGCAGGGCTACGCTCTTCCTCGCAAGTGCAGCAAGTAAGCATGACTTGGAAAATAACAATGAGCACACACCGTCGGTTTTATAACCGAATTGTCCACGTTCTCTTTCCACAGCACTAATACCACTGCAAGACTGAAGTGCCCGATGGACCCCTATTTTATAATCCCGGATCGCTGCGTTTGTGTTGACTTTCAGACACTCCGACTGCAGGAGTCTCCAGATGCCGTACCGCATGGAGAAATGCCTCGGCACCTTCAGCTCTACTGTGACAGGTTAATATGTTCAACCTCAAGCTGGCAAAAAGACATTTGAAGCGCATAGCATTTTAATTGAATATAATGATGTAAATGTCACAGGGCAAATCACTTGGTGTGTGGCTGCAAACTCACAGTCCTTCCTTTGCCAGATACCTGTGTGACCGTGTGGTCCCAGGGAACCGAGTGACCATCATGGGCATCTACTCTATCAAGAAGACGGCCGCTGTGAAGGCCAAAGGCAGAGAGAAGAGTGCCGGTGTGGGAATTCGTGCGTCCTACCTGAGAGTGATCGGCATCCAAGTTGACACAGAAGGGGCAGGTAAAAAAATAAATAAATAAAGAGAGACACAAATCTGAACCTGACCACTTTTGCTGTACAGGCCACACCACGATGCTAAAGTGTTCTGTCCCCGGCAGGTCGTGGTGCTACTGGATCGGTGTCGCCACAGGAAGAGGAGGAGCTACGGACGCTGGCCGCTTCTCCTGATGTTTACACCTCGCTGGCTCGCTCCGTTGCTCCCTCAATCTACGGCAGCGATGATCTCAAAAAGGCTATCACCTGTCTGTTGTTTGGAGGCTCAAGGAAGAGGTGAAATGACAAAAGGCAAGCTGAGTGCTTGGCTTTGTCACTCACTCTGGCTTACACGTGTTCACGTCCTTTTTCTAGGCTGCCCGATGGTCTCACTCGCAGAGGAGACATCAACCTGCTCATGCTTGGAGATCCTGGTACCGCCAAGTCTCAGTTGCTCAAGTTTGTGGAGAGAAGCTCGCCCATTGGGGTAAGGGTTTTCTTTTTCAACATTAACCCGCCACCAGTCGTGGAACAAATTACGAGACTCTGCCCCACCCAAAATGCTTGTATAGTATTTGTCGCAATAGTTGAAAAGGAAGGTGAACTGTGCAGTTCAAAATAAAAATACCTTGTTTTATTGAGGGCTTTGGCGCCACCTTGTGGCGTTGAATAGGTGAGTTTTTCAACAACTGACAGAATAGGCTGCAAAAAACATGAATTGGTGAATTTGCGATTAACAAGGCGAGGGATAACTGTACTCATATTTGTACTGCATAATCATAAGCCCACATTTCCGTACCTTGTGAATTGCAGAATTAAATCAAGTGATTGTCAGCTCTTGTTTTGTGCACCCTCAGGTTTACACCTCAGGAAAAGGGAGCAGTGCTGCTGGTCTGACTGCCTCTGTTTTGAGGGACCCGGCTACACGTGGCTTCATCATGGAGGGTGGCGCGATGGTTCTGGCTGATGGCGGCGTTGTCTGTATTGATGAGTTTGACAAGGTACGGTCGGGGTTTACCGTATTTTCAAGCGGAAGATGCTTCAACTATGAAATGGGGAAAATAGTGTCTTATGAAAAGCAAGTAATACTGTATATTTTTCCCATTCTTGCTCCATTGAAGCTACTCAGCGCATATAGGAAAAAAAACTTTTTAAAAATGTTGCGCAACATCTGTAAGAATCAATGGGCAAAGTCTTAATTGACAATTAAAAAAAACAAAACAAATTTTCTTCTTATTTTGCAGATGCGAGAAGATGACAGAGTTGCCATCCACGAGGCCATGGAGCAACAGACCATCTCCATCGCCAAGGTGATAGCTTGATCCGACTGAGGGCTAATACTTAGCCGAGGATGGATTCCAGCTACGATCAACCTCCGGGTTGTGGTCCCCGCCCGCTTCGGCTGCGGCACTCTGCTGATGACGCACCTCTCACAAGTTAACGCTTGACCAAATCGTCCACTCTTGCTAGGCTGGCATCACCACCACTCTGAACTCACGCTGCTCAGTGCTGGCTGCTGCCAATTCCGTGTTTGGCCGCTGGGATGACACCAAGGGGGAGGACAACATTGACTTCATGCCCACCATCTTGTCCCGATTCGACATGATCTTCATCATTAAAGACTTGCACGACCAGCAGAGGGACATGGTAATGGGCCTTGTGTGTTTTCCTTGACGGTCGCATTCTTAAGGTTGCGGACTGTCATTTTTGCACTCTTGATATTTTGCAGACACTGGCCCGTCACGTTATGAATGTTCATCTGAGTGCCCAGACACAAACGGAGGGTGTTGAGGGTGAGATTCCGCTGGCCACCTTTAAGAAGTACATCGCCTTTGCCAGAGCGTAAGTCTTGGTTTTGCTTTCTTTCTTCATGACGGACATACTGCCCGCAAATATGAATACTTTTCAATCTGAAATTGTTCTTCCAGGAAATGTGGCCCTCGTCTGTCTGCCGCTGCGGCCGAGAAGTTGAAAAACAGATACGTGCTGATGAGGAGCGGCGCAAGAGAGCATGAGAGGGAAACGGACAAAAGAGCCTCCATCCCAATCACTGTCAGGTACTTAATATTGGATGCCATTAAAGGTGCCATACAAATGTTGTGTGTTTAAACAGATGTTTGTGTAGCTGGTCCACTTAATTTTGGCTGCCTTCAATGTAATTTTTGTCTCTGCTATATTCCAGGCAACTGGAGGCTGTTGTGCGTATCGCAGAGTCGTTGGCCAAAATGAAACTGCAGGCCGTCGCTGGAGAAGAAGAAGTAGATGAGGCGCTGCGACTCTTCCAAGTTTCGACACTGGATGCCGCGCTCTCGGGCAGCCTCTCGGGTGTGTTTTGAGTCACTACATCATATATACATTATACCAGTTTTTCCTTGGTGTGTGTGTGTGTTTTTTTTAAACATGATTCCATTCTGACACGCAGGAGTGGAAGGTTTCACCACTCAAGAGGACCAGGAGATGCTTTCCCGAATTGAGAAGCAATTAAAGAGGCGCTTTGCAATCGGCTCCCAAGTGTCTGAGCACAGCATCATCCAAGACTTTGCCAAACAGGTAAGTCGGAAGGTGGAAAAGGACACACAAACACCCCAATGATAAAGACTATCATCAGCAAGAGAGTGTATTTAGCTTTTTTTGTGTTTTGAATCGTCACAAAGCTGAAAATATTATCCTGAGCTGATTTTTGTTTAATATATGTGAGAAGCATTTCAAATGTATTTTGTTTCTTTTTTGGGGCGGTTCATTGTGATCCGCGATGCAGAAATATCCCGACCACGCCATCTACAAAGTTCTCCACCTGATGTTGCGGAGGGGTGAGCTTCAGCACCGTATGCAGAGAAAAGTACTCTACAGAGTCAAATAGATGATTGTGTCACATCAAGTGCATATTGATGTAAGTGCTTCCCCACATCTGCCCCTCATCACCATTTGTGCTCTTGAGTCGATGTCAACGTTCAACTTTGGAGTTAAAGATGAAATTGTTTCACCGACATGGATGTTTTTTGTTGAGCAAAAAAAGGTGTTTCCACATATCTGCATGTCCTGTAAAGAATTTAAGTTCTGAGAATCATAAATAAAACATTGTCATAGCAAATTATTGTTGGCCTTTTTGCCTATTCGCAAGCAAACTGATTAACCGTGTGTTGGATTGGAATTTGCCTCTTCGTACATTAAAGGAAAAACTACCGATACCGATATGTATAAAGGACACACAAAAATCTCACAAATATATATGAAACAAACTGCTAAAACATACACGTGAAAAAACTGTATCTACAGTCCATCTATACTTAAGAAATAATTTGTTACAGGTATTCAGTCATTTGTTTTTAGATATTGCACTGTATTATCCATATTTGGTCCAAGGTGGGCGACTAGTTGGCAGGTCCGCCCCACAGTGCAGAGGCGCAGGGTTCGATTCCGGCATGATCAGCTTTCCAACCAAAATACCTCCAAATGTTCAAAGTTTTTTTGATTAGAGTTGGGGTCAGACAGTCTTGAGCTGACATTGGCTGTGGAAGTGACGTGTAATTTCTGGAATTTCCCCTTGGAGGATTGTGATGAGTGTCAGGAGAAAAAAACAGACGAATGTACTGTCAACAAATCTGTTTCCTCTTTTAATGTTTGTTTCGACAAATACATACTTATACTCTGGAATAAAAAAAAAAAAAAAGGACATACAGTAGGTTGTTCAATCAAATACAAGTGCGGACATTTTTAAAAGCCATGGTTCCAGTTGTCATTTGTTTTATTAGTAAAGTGCTCTGGGTGCTTGCGGCGTTGGGTAAGACTACAAGAGATACATTCCCGTTCCAATAGTAGCCAATGTGACGCACAGTCCCACAGTGAAAGGCATGAGCGGAGGAAATGGGAAAGTGGCAGGGTTGATCTTCGATGGTTCGGTTGCGACACACAAAAGCTTCTGCAAGTCATCAAAAACCTGTCGGAAAACAAAACACGTCAGCAGATTTCCTCAACAGACTCTGCATCAGTTCCTCTAAGAGTCTTTCTTGTCATTGACCCCACAACGAGGCTCTTGGGATGAAATAGTCACCTGGGTGTTGAACTCAAAGGCCTGAACCGCCTCCTCCAGCACAGCCGCCCTCTCCGCCTCGGTTAGCTCGATGGCGTTCATGCGACTCCTGTATAGCTGCTTGAAGCGATTCGCGCTGGTCACGCCCGGGAATGAGAAAAACGAAAGACCCTCCTTTCCTGTCAGTCGGAGCGATTTCTGGGTAATTTTTCCCAGCACTTGACCTCCTGACAGATCCCCAAGATATCGAGTGTAAGCGTGGGCCACCAGCAGCACCGGATTCTTTTGACCAATCTGCAGAAGAGAACTTGGCGTTCGTCAATTTGCCTCATTGCAAATCCGTCGTGGGACCGACCGGCCGTTCCATTTTGCATTCACCTCTCGTAGCCTCTGCGTGTATCTGTGGGTGGCAGCCGGAACAATCACCTTCCCACTCCAGTCCGGGCCGAAAAAATGCTCCAAGTCGCTCTCCAGGTATTCCAGGCGAGCAAGTTCCTGTGGGAAGTATATCGGTGCGACCGCCGGATGGGAACAATTCTTATCCAGTTCCTCTTCGAGCACCTTGTAGATCTCATGGAGGGAACACAGCAGGAGCTGACGGAGGCATCAGATGGTTTAATTTCACGTTGGTGTGTATAATGATCTGGGTATCTAGTTTTGGATACATTTTTGATTGGCAATGTGCTTTCAGAGTTCTTTTTTTTAATGGTTCAAGAAACACTTAACTAATATTTTTGGTCATAGATCCATAGCCGTCTCGGCGTAAATAATACGGATTTATTATTTACTGGAGGAATTTGTGTGGAACCGACCTTGTACTGTGGCAGTGTGATCTGTCCCCTTTGGTAACTCAGCATCAGCTCGGTATTTTCAGCTCTCACATGGTTGTCCTTTGTGGCTTCTTTAATCTGCTCTGACAAATCACTGTCGACAGCACAATAATCAACCGATACAATGATTTTAAATGCGTTCAGGGCAGTGATAGCGATTTCTTTTTCTGAGTGTCATACCTGCCCTCTTCCCACGTGTCATATTTCCTTGCACTTTTCTTGGTCTCCATCTACACAGCCAAGTGCGCGTTTAATCGAATACAGCGCTAAGCACATGAACCAACTACGATTCTATGAATAAATATGCAGCATCTTACCTTATTAATGTCCGTGCTGCTTGAGGGTCTTTAGAATAGAGGCTCTGACACTCGTTGCTTACTGGGTTCCCCTTTGGCCTCACTGATCCATCACGTCTCATTTATACACAGGCATAATGTGCCAAAGGTGCTGAGACAGATGGGAAGTGTTACTGATGACTCACATGACTCTGCTCGCTTGCGACATAACATGACGTTGCAGATGTGGGGAGAAAAATGACTAAACATGACACAGTAGAATTTCTTAGTTTTGGTTTTGGATTTCAGCTGAGCAAACAGGCCCCGTACAGAGACCTTTGGAGAGCAACATGCTCAAAGCTAAAAGGGGGCACAAGGAACCAGAGTTTGAAACACTTCACAGCAGACTTCAGCGACATGATGTCCTTCAGGACCACATGAATAGCCTATGTGGTTCTGTTCTATAAATTGCTCACCAGTGATTGGATATTGTGATTTCTTAGGATTGTTATTGGAAGTGATCATAACAATGATGCAATGTATTATTTTTCTTTCACATTTTTATTCGAAAAACAAACACATTTTCTGTGATGAATATAAAATGTAACCACACACAAATTGATTATTAGCTTAGAATTGTTTCATGGTCCCTCCCTCGAAACGCCAAAGCGCTCGAGAAGACTTCTGCAGGCTCAAGCGATCCTTGATACTGGATCAGCGCTGGCCCCGCCCATTTCCCCGTCCACTCCTTTTAAAGGGAAAATATAACCCATGCAATTATTTCATGGCGCACAGGGGATCCTTCGAGATGAAATTACATGAACGCCCAAAAAATAAAGATGTATTGTTTTGGATTTACTTTATATTGGTAGAATCGAGGCTCTTCTAACCACGCCTCTTTGGGCGGGCAGACGTCCTCTGGTGGACAACATGGGCGGTGCTTGACGATTTTCGGGAGCGAACACCTTCTCCCACATTCATCAAGCGGTTGAAAAACAAAACACGGAATCATGTAGACGTTCTCATAGGTTTGATTCTCTCCACACCGCCGATGTCACGTTCAAGGGATCGACTGTTGTAGAAGGTAATGTGGACGGATTCGCTGTCCTTTTTGCTTGACCATTCGATTCCGCTGCTTCAGCGGGAGATGGCAGTCGCCGTATCCGCAAGAGAGTGACATAACAGCGGCTGGAGAGTTCAAGGAGAGCCGGGGGATTGTTGTCCCGTTTCTCATGCGTATTCTTGCACGTTGTCCAATTTTAGACCGCTTCCTTCTCAATTTGCTCTGCCGCCCGGCTCATTGTACTCATAACTGAATACTGACTTTGTGCTGAAATATCCTGCAGTTCAGGATTCCTGGATAGTTTCTCATAACGGCCCACATGCCCATGCATGCTAGGAATAAAACACAACGTTGCTACTAACTCTCTTGGAGATGGGCATCTTGCAATTGTTGACAGTCTTTTGGACCAGCTTGATGTTGCACTTGCCAATGGTGTGTCAGAATCAACCTGCGTTGTGTTAAAAATAAATGAAGGAATTCATAAGGTAGTTTGTGTCACAATAGGAGAAACTAAACTATGGCCTGGGGATTATTTGTGGCCCGCTGTCCATTTTTAAGTAGCCCTCGACACATCCTGAAGTCCACATTTGACACAGCCCATGTTGTTTGCCAACACTTTATGACTTACTTTCTACATTTGGTGGCCAGATAGGAAAAGAGAAGAAATTTGTCCTCATCTCTCACCTCCTCATTTTCCACCAATCAGACTTCACTACAACAGTACCACATTTATATTCATAACACACCGATGCATATAGGTCATTCAATTACAGCAGCAAATAATTAGTTGCTCCACTTAATGCTCTGTGTCCGGGTCAGATTTATACAGATTGCACTTCTTACGTGTGGTACTGAATGCGGGGATGTGATTATGCTTCTGCAAAGTACAGGTGTAGTACAAGTGCATTCTAGTGAGATGGAGGGCCGCTGGCCACCCAAAAATCCAGAGGAAAAAAAAATTGAATATCATGAGCCTTTTTTTTTTTCCCGAGGGTCATATGGTGATACTATTGTATTGAGACGTTTGGCTATTATGACATCCTTACTCAACGATGTCATTCACACTTTTAAACCTCTTGTTCAACAGGTAATGGATTCCTGCCTTCTATGTTTGATCTTCTCCCTTGTCACCGGTGTGGCCAAATGCATTGAAGATGATCACCGGGTTAATGGCACTCACCATCATGACTATTGCATCCTTGGCGCTGGGCCTGCCGGACTGCAGATGGGCTACTTCCTCTCCAAAGCCAAAAGAGACCACATCATCTTGGAGAGAAACTCTGGACCTGGGAGTTTTTTTCACAAGTTGGTGGAGAAATCTTTGTCTCCTGTTGTGTGTTAAAATGCATATCACATTGAGCCTTTCTAATTTTCATGTCAAGATATCCCCGGCACAGAAAGCTCATCAGCATCAATAAGATCCACACTGGACGGCAGAACCGAGAGTTTAATCTCCGCCATGATTGGAACTCGTTGTTGAGCGATAAACCAGAGCTCCTGTTCCGGCAAGTCAGCAGGGACTTTTACCCGCCGGCTGATGCCTTCCCACGCTACCTTTCCATGTATGAGATGGAGCTCGGGCTGAGGGTCCAGTATGGTGTGGATATTCGAAGGATCAGGGCAGTGGTGGCATCCAGCGGAAGACGTTATGTCCTAACTGATCAACATGCAAAGGAATACACGTGCAGGTGGGTTTGCTTTTTATTGCCCTTGAAGGTCAAACTTTACAAACAAAATAAACACGAGGTCGCATTGCGCTCTCTGTGTCTCAGCGTCCTTCTGGTTGCCACCGGTTTGTGGGTTCCTCAGGAGGTGGACTTTGTTGGTTCTGACCTGGTCGAGGGCTACGAATCGATCTCCACAAACTCGGAGGACTACAAGAACCAGGCTGTGCTGATTCTGGGCAAAGGGAACTCAGCTTTTGAAACAGCCCAGAGCATTTTAGGACATGCGAGTCGGGTTCACATGGTCAGTCGCAGTCCCGTTCGATTGGCCTGGCAAACACATTACGTTGGAGATCTCAGGTAGAATCGGGGACCAATTTCTGTTGTTTCTTTTTTTCTTGCTGGCTACTTTTTTTACTCTTACTCGTGTAATTATTTGGAGGACTGCTTCTTACTTTTACTTGAGTTATTATTGTTAAGTGCTCTTACTTGAGTACATGCTTTGGCGACGCTAGCCACCTCGGATAATGTATCTTTTTCTATATGCCTCTTGTAACATGACCTGATCTTTTGTTTGTGTTCTCAGAGCTGTGAATAATGAACTCATAGACACATATCAGCTGAAGTCTCTCGATGGGTTGGTGGAAGCCAGCCTGGAGCGCATCGTGATTGTTCAACAAAAGGAAGATGGCAGGAGGAAATCAAACAAAGTCAGCGAGAAGAAAGGACAGTTGTTTGTGACGATAAATAAGTACATGCGAAACCAGTCGGAGAATAACAAATCCGATGTGACAGCTGAAGATCTGCTTGGGTATCACATTGACAATTTCTCCATGAGGAAACCTTACGATCGTGTGATCCGATGTCTTGGCTTCCGATTCAACTTCAGCATATTTGACAGGTACAAGTAATAGACAGTATTATTATTATTATTTTTTTTGTATAGAACATATTTGGCACTGCTATGTCTTTTTTTTTTTTTTTTACCGTGATTTAGCTTTCTTTGCGGACAAAAAAGTTCATCCCCCTCAATCAATTTTAGCAAATGACATTTTTATTTTAATGTTCAGTTATGGGCCCGATGGGATAAATTATGTTGATGAGAAATTGATCATTGTACTCTGCGACTTTACTGTGTCTCAAAATACAAACATCTCCACAGCTCTGCCTGTCCACCCAAGAGTAAAAATGCAAAAGGGAGGTTGCCACGGGTCACAGCCTGGTATGAAGGTCATGATACTCCTGGTTTGTTTGTACTGGGAGCAGCTGCTCACTCCAGAGACTATCGCAAATCAGCCGGTGGTTTCGTTCACGGATTTCGCTACACAGGTTAGCATTCAGAAGCTATTCTCAAGGCCGTATCGCTCACGCTTCGCTAAATTGTTCGATGATGCAATGATGGTGACGCCTAATACTGTCGTACACTTGGCAACGTGCGTTTTGAACAAGCGTTTACGTCATTCTGGTTGTGTCTCAGTGCGAGCTGTGCATCATTTGCTTGAGCAACGTCACCACAGAACACCGTGGCCATCTACACCATTGTCGACAACGCAGCTGCTCTCTGCCATTTTGAAGCGGGTGGGCGAGGCATCTGGGCCCTACCAGATGTTTGAGATACTAGGAGATGTGATATTGCTGAGAGGGTAAGTTGCATTTTATGGTTGAATGGAATCCGCCACTGGTCATTTCAGTTTCTGCAGTTTGAGATTGAAACAGTCAGTATTTTTGTCCATGACATTTTTATATGACACACAAATTAACTGTGTGTGACCGGAAATATATGTACTGCAGTGTAAATGCTTTTGGCCTGATAACAATTGTAGCAAAAAGAAGAAAATAGCCCAGGCTTTATAGTGTAAGATTTACCGCCTAATTCTGTAGTAGACAACGGCGTGTTTCAACACTTGTTGATGTGTTTCAACATTGTATTTCCCGTATTTGTTAATGCCATGTTTTGGTTTTTTTTCCTCTTTAATATGACCAAAAGATCTTATTGCCAGTATGTGGAGGAATTCCCGCTGCAGGCCTTGCCTCAGTTCTCTTCTCTCTCGGGTCATGAGGTGTCCGAGCATGGACTGGTGATTCTAGTGATGCAATATGGGAAAAAGAAGATTGACTATCTGGGAGCAGGCAGGGCAGTCACGGACTGGAGCAAAGCTTGGAAATCCAACTTTCTACACCCAGTTTTATACTACTATGACACACTTCCCACCGGTGAGTAAGACTTGGCGGCCATCAGGGTGGTGGTCCTTTTTTTGGTTCTGCCATTAGACAGGTAACATGTTACGTGGGACTTAACTGGAATACCCCTGTTGTACTCAAGACGAAGAGATGAAACGCCGTCCCCATGGGTGGCCTTTACCAAGGCCTAAGGCTATTCATCACATGGTTGAAGACTTCCTAACTGAGTGGGATGGCCCCATATCTCACATCCAGCCTTTGCGAC